AAGAAATTAGAACTTAATAAGAAAATTTTTTAATAACTGTATTTAGTAATAGTGATAGATGAAATTGATGTGTAATGACACTCAATGATGCTTAACGATGCTTAGTGATGCTTAACGACACTTAGCAATGCTTATGATGCTTAGTGATGCTTAATAACTTTTAACGACACTTAGTGATGCTTAATGACACTTAGCGACACTTAGCTCAATAGATATATAAACCTATTTTATTTCCCTTAGTTTTAAACAGATCCAGACATTGTATTTTATATTTATCATTATACTTATTACCCTCCTCTATTATTATTAATAAACTCTTGGGATTTTTAAGAAACAGACACCTTGGAATAGCCCTCTTGTTAAATTAATAAACTGTCTATTATCTCTTGTTGTTTTAATATCTAGTCTGGGCACCTTATATCTATTATTTTTGTAATATTGTTGGGATGCCTATATCTTTCTTACTTTTAGTACATCTTTTATCTTTTTCTTTTGGTTCTGTATTCTCATTTATATTAGGTTGATTAAGTCCGGTTGTTATATTTTTATAGTTGGGCGCCTTGCATCTTTTCTCACTGGAAAGTGTAGGTGACCCAACTCTATTTTCAGTTTTAAAGCCTTCTTTTACTAATTCTTTTTTCTCACTGAAAAGTGTTGGCGTCCCAACTTTATTTTCTTTAGAGTTTTTATTAATTTGATCTGTTTTAGGTTGGTTAGGTTAATTATTTTTGTTGTTGAACGCCTTGCATCTTTTCTCATTTTGTTCATTTCCATGGGTTTTAAGAAACTTCTTATTGGGCTTTGGTCCTGAGAAAGCTCAACAGTGATACTTGGATACTCGAAACTTGCTGCTAGGTTTATCTTCAGAGTATACTTCAAATAGGTTTAACAGTAGCCTCCGAGCATTGCCATGACTGTTTTTGGGTTGCTTCAGCTGTTGTATGAGAACTCTTTGGTTAAATATTAGTTTATTATTAATGAGAATAGTATGGTTCTTTTGGTCTTTTTATATTCCTATTTGTGATTGATATTTATTACTAAGGAGGATGTATTTTGATTCTGTGTTAAGGACGACTATTTTTAAGTTCTTTGTTAAATATTCATTAATTTTGATATCGACTACTATTTTGTCTAATATTTTGACTTCACTTCCTACTGCTTCTGCTATTGCTGGTTTTGTTATGATCTTTCTAATCCTAATCTTTTTGCATGGTTTATTCCCATTGATGTATTAGTTGATCCTTCATCTAGTTTGAATTCTATTATTATTCCATTTAT